TCCGTGTGTCCCCAGCTGTGTGTCCGTGCACCGGGCCACCAGCCAGCTGGAGAACACAAGCAGCTCTCGGCACGCTGCTCCCCGGGCCAAAGGGCTCTTAAGCAGCCACACAGAGAGCAGCATGTGGAAATATGGCCTTGGTTACTCATGCCCCCACACTCATCACTTTGCATAAATATTTAGGTTCCAGCCCTTGGAGCCGCAGTGACACGTTCGCCAGGCTCCGGCTGTCGGTTTTGCCATTTCTATGGGGTTGTCATCTCATTCATCATCCGAGAATCCGCTTGGCACGTTAGCAGGAGCCCTCCTCTGCTGCGGGGAATCGCAGCCTTTAAAAGGCTCGGAGCAGAGCCCAGGACGCCCACGTGCCTCTGCTGCCTGCACTTTCTGGGTTTTGGGGTGGCAGGTTAGGCAGGGGCCAGGGTAGAGCCTGGGAGGTGCTGTCCCAGGCCCCGCAGTAGTGACCCCCATTTCTCCTTTCAGTGCGTGCCAATCTCATCCCCAGTCCCCCCACCTTCAACTCCAAGTACGGCTACATCAGCTGGGAGGCCTACGCCAACGTCAGCTATTACACCCGCGTCCTCCCACCCGTGCCGGACGACTGCCCGACGCCCATGGGGACCAAAGGTATGTGGCTGGCACGGGGGGACCAGCAGCACATGGTGACAGATGTGGGGCCGAGTTGTTGGAGCAGCACCCCAGGTCTGTACCTGGTGCAGCATTGGTGTTTCCCACCCACCTGTGCCCAAGCTTTTGCTGCCGTGGACACATCTGCAAGGCATCGCTGGCAGTGCCACTTGCTACTGCTGTCCTGCTCAAGCTGGCCTCATGGGCACGAGGCATCTGAAATGCTGCTGGGACTGCTCTGGTTGAGCTGCTGGGGTGTGTTGTAGCCCATGTAAGAGGGCTGTAAGGTGTCTGTGCAGACAAGGCAGGGCCTGGTCCTGCAGCAGATGTGGCAGTGCTCACCGACAGCGCCATGGCCGGCACCGGTACCCAGCCGGGTTGGCAAGGGGCATCTGCCCTCAACCTCCGTCCTTCACAGGGAAGCAGCAGCTCCCCGACCCCCAGCTCCTGGCGGAGAGGTTCCTGCTGCGGCAGAAGTTTGAAGCTGATCCCCGAGGCACCAACTTGATGTTTGCCTTCTTCGCCCAGCATTTCACCCACCAGTTCTTCAAGACCTCCGGGAAGATGGGCCGTGGCTTCACCAAGGCGCTGGGGCACGGGGTGAGGGTCTTGCAGGGAGTGAGGTGGGGCCCGGGGCATGCACGGCCTCTCAGAGCAGCCTTGACACTGTGCTCTCTTGGCAGGTGGATCTCGGGCACCTGTATGGGGACAACCTGCAGCGGCAGCACCAGCTGCGACTCTTCAAAGACGGGAAGCTGAAATTCCAGGTACCACCCGGCATGACCAGAACATCTCTCAGTCCTGTGGTCTAGGATTGTTTGAAGCCCACGTCCCTCTGGCAGCTCTTTGGAGACTCCAGCCCTGATGCCCTGTGTGGCTGTTGGCTGGAGGTACCACGTCAGAGGGATGAGTTTTGGGGTGTAGCTGTGCTGACGCAGTCCCCCGCCAGCCATGCTGCGTGAGGGAGGCGTTTCCATCCTGCTGAGTGCTTGCAGGACAGCACCCGTGGTGCCTGTAGAGCGACAGGTCGCTGCTGCACAGGCTTTCACCGGAGTGGTTTTCTCCCCTCCTCCCTTCCTGCCATCCCATTCTTGTCTCCCCAAGGTGGTG